CGTGGTCATGTGCTCTGCATTCTTGGTCCAATGTTCAGCGGAAAGACGTAAGGGGATTAATTCGACTTATCTTCCTACGCAATGTAATGTTCCAGAACCGAACTGATTCGGATGCATGATCGCTACAGAATTGCTGGAAGGAATTGCGTGCTTGTCAAATACGCCGGTGACACGCGATACGATGCCGAGCTAATTGTGACTCATAAAAGGTTTTGCTAATGATATGCATATAGATATCATTGAAAAATTGCTTTTAAGAGTGACCGCAGATGGAGCCACTCTGATTGCGAGAACATTGAGGGAAGTGCGAAATCAGCTGTTTGCAATCGACACAGAAGTAGTGGCGATCGACGAAGGCCAATTCGTGCGTTGACTCTTCATAAACAGCCGCTACGTTTGTCACATCTAAGTGTCCTACTTGATTTTTTCTGCTTCACTTGAATATTTGCTTTCCTTTAGCTATTAAGGCGACATGTAAAAATCTTGCGTTTTTCTTTTGCCTCCTCTTGCGCATGTTGGAAGGTAACAAGCAAGCTGAGGTCCCCACAAGCCCCCTGAGAAACACCCCTTCATATCTTATGAGTTCCATATCAATAAGGAGCATCGCATAGAAACAGGGTCCCCCGAAAGCGACGCAACACGAGCCGATCGGTGCGAATTCTGGACGAGGACCACCGACTCACGAGCGAAGAGGGAGTAATGCTAATTCCTCAAAGGCAACCGCCCATCGGGACCCTCAGTGGGAAACATCAAGCCATGGATCTCTTTAAGGGTTGGATGTAGCATGCAACAAACGAAATGGAAGGAATTGCGCGACATCAGAGATGGATATAAGCTCTTTTATAATGGCGCGATCAGTTATCAAAATGATGTAAGCATAGTTGCCTCAGAAAGGCTAAGAGGCAGGATTGCGCAGTTGACCTATTTGATCAACTTACGAGGGTAAAGATTGACAAAGTGAAAGATTTTCGTGTCACTGTTTACTTGCAAAAGGAAGAAAAAATTGTTTTGTGACAAGACTTTAACGACCATATCACACCCATACTATAGGATGAGACACTCCTGCTTGGAGCAGACCTCATGTTTATATGGAGGAGAAACGAAGTGCAGGAAATTGTTTCGGGCCAGGGATATGGGGCATGCAACGAAGAAGACGAACGCACACTTAAGTTCGCACCCTACAATCTAGCGGAGATCAACACTCGCTATGTCAAGAAGCATGTGGTTACGTAGTGGAGAATGCCTGATTGACTTTTGAGCAGTACGTCATAATAACTACAACACATGAAGGATTACAATATTAACCCAAGTTTAAACTGCATTTCTCAGGACAGCTTTATTCTTAAACCTAAATTTTATAATTGAAAGATAAAATTAAGTAATAACCAGCACAAAGTATGAGAAGTAAAAGAAAATCTCTGGTTAAGATGCTCTGATAAGTATCGTACCGTTTTGCGTGGGGAACCAGAGCAGTCATGGTCACGCTT